TTTGTCAACCCCCAGGCCTCTTATCCATTTGGATTGAATCTTGTCATCAAAATCGAACAATTTATATTGAATAGAACAATTGATATTAGGTTTAGGGATAATCAGATTCGAACCGATGACTTCCAACACGTCAAGGTGACACTCTACCGCTGAGTTATACCCCCTCCCTTGCCTCTATTGAGAAAAAAGACTGCCTAATCCTACGTCAAAAAAATCAACGCGACTATTTTTGAAACTTAAACAAGGCCTTCTTTTCACACTCTTACATAGTTGAATATTGGAAAGAGGTTGATCTACTTCTTTATATGATGATACAATCCTCTTGTTGCTTTTCTCCTCGGCCCACAACGACAAAATGTAGGTAGTTCATCATGAAAGAAAGGACTCGCTGAACCGAGATCATTAACTAAACTAATAGATAATAATCTAATCGTATACAATAGAAACTGTCTTTTCCATCTCCATATATTCTCTCCGGTTCCGTTGCTACTACACGCTTTACACAATTAATCGTATCATAATAGATAGATATCTTTTCAACATAGGTCATCGAAAGGATCTCAACAACCCACCAAAGCACGAAAGCCGATATTTTTCACAAAATAGATTCCTATTCAAAGAGTGCATAACCGCATGGATAAGCTCACACTAACCCGTCAATTTAAGATCCAATTCGGTATTTTCTTTGGGAAATATTGGAAAGGAATTGGAATGTAATAATATTGATTCATACAAAAGAAAAGGTTTTCTATTGATATTGATTTAAACAGTATACTTACAAGAAAGGCATAGAGAAAGAGAAAAAACCGAAGATTTCATATAGCACTTTTGATCAAATAAAGAAATCTTCTTTATTACGTAACTTCCTTACCTTTTGATGAATAAGAAAATGGGTCAGATCTTACAGGATGAAATGAAGGAATAGAAGTAAAAAAAAGAATTAGAAGATTACAAAACAACAAATTCAAACTTGATTGAAAAGCATCTTTTTTGATTCTCGAAGAATCAGCTGTAAAAGGATTAATCGAGACAGATTTATTCTTCTGATTTCTGATTATAAGATCATAACATAATCGGATTCATATATGTTTGGTAAAAGTAAAAATAATAAATTTATCCTTTGAGAATAAAATAAAGGGAAAGTGTTTAATTGAAACATGAAAAAAAAAAACGTGACTGACTTAATTAGTTCTCGTTTATTTGGGGGAAGAAGTGGAGATTATCGAACGAGGAAAAGGATCTAATTACGTCGAAAGAATTGAACGAGGAGCCGTATACGGTGAAAATCTCATGTACGGTTCTGGGGTAACAACTAGAAATATAACTCTCAATCCAACTATTAACGTAATAGACATATATAGATAGTTATAGCTGAAGTTAGATTTATGCATGTTTCATAAATACAAGTCTTTTTATGCATTGCAATCCTCTCATTCTAAAAAAAAAGGGTCAAAATATCTCTCTTCTTTGTTAATTTTCATTCTTTTTTGAACACTTGAAATGGTAAAGGGCTCAAAAAAATTGTATATTTTTTCTGATTATTTTCTTTTAAAAATCTTTCTCTCATGGAGCCAATCAAATCCTGAATTAAGTTTTGGGGTATCAATCGAATTGGAATATGTAATATCATACTCTAATAAAAGTCTATTTGTTTGTTTTGTTGCAAATTCTAATTTTAGTAGAAAAATTCCTCTTTTCATAATGCGTATTTCATAGACGTAGTGAGGTAAAATTTCATGTGATTCAGTAAAGTAAAAAGAACATAAATTCCATTATTGCTAAATATATTCATGTGATTCGATGAAGAATGACAACAAATCATGGGATATTTTCTATAAAATAAAAAAGGGGTAATAAAAAATTATTGGGGTTGGGAATGAAGGAATGTCTACACTACCGGGATTGAATCAAATACAATTTGAAGGGTTTTGTAGATTCATTGATCGGGGCTTAACAGAAGAACTTTTGAAGTTTCCAAAAATTGAAGATACATATCAAGAAATTGAATTTCAGTTATTTGCGGAAACATATCAATTGGTAGAACCCTCAATAAAAGAAAGAGATGCTGTATATGAATCACTTACATATTCCTCTGAATTATATATATCTGCGGGAGTAATTTGGAAAAACAGTCAGGATATCCAAGAACAAATTATTTTTATTGGAAACATTCCTCTAATGAATTCCCTGGGAACTTTTATAGTAAATGGAATATACAGAATTGTAATCAATCAAATATTGCAAAGCCCCGATATCTATTATCGGTCAGAATTGGACCATAACGGAATTTTAGTCTATACTGGCACAATAATATTAGATTGGGGAGGAAGATTAGAGTTAGAAATTGATAGAAAAGCAAGGATATGGGCTCGTGTAAGTAGGAAACAGAAAATATCTATTCTAGTTCTATCATCAGCTATGGGTTCGAATTTAAGTGAAATTCTTGAGAACATTTGTTACCCCGAAATTTTCTTGTCTTTCCTCAATGAAAAGGAGGAAAAAAAATAAGGTCAAAAGAAAATCCCATTTTGGAGTTTTATCGACAATTTGCTTGTGTAGGCGGAGATCCCATATTTCTGGAATCTTTATGTACAGAATTACAATTTTTTTTTCCAACAAAGATGTGAATTAGGAGGAATGTGTCGGCGAAGTATGAACCGAAGGCTGAATATTGATATACCCGAGAATAATACATTTTTGTTACCGCGAGATTTATTGACAGTTGCGAATAATTTGATTGGAATGAAATTTGGAATGGGTACACTTGACGATATGAATCATTTGAAAAATAAACGTATTCGTTCCGTAGCAGATCTCTTATAAGATCAATTTGGATTGGCTCTCGTTCGTTAAGAAAATCTAATTATAGGAACTATATGTGGAGCAATTAGATATAAATTGATACCGACTCCTCAGAATTTAGTGATATCAACCCCATTAACAACCACTTATGAATCTTTTTTTGGATTACATTCATTATCTCAAGTTTTAGATCAAACCAATCCATTGACCCAAATAGTTCATGGAAGGAAATTGAGTTCTTTGGGTCCTGGAGGATTTACGGGGCGAACTGCTAGTTTTTGGATACGGGATATCCATCCTAGTCACTATGGACGCATTTGTCCAATTGACACCTCTGAAGGAATCAATGTCGGACTTATTGGATCCTTGGCAATTCACGCAAGGATTGGTCGTTGGGGGTCTATAGAAAGTCCATTTTATGAAATTTCTGAGAGATAAAAAAGAATACGAATGCTTTCTTTATCACCAAGTAGAGATGAATACTATATGGTAGCGACGGGAAATTTTTTAGCACTGAATCGAGGTATTCAGGAGGAGCAGATTGTTCCAGCTCGATACTGTCAAGAATTTCTTACTATTGCATGGGAACAGGTTCATCTTCGAAGTATTTTTCCCTTCCAATATTTTTCTATTGGAGCTTCCCTCATTCCTTTTATCGAGCATAATGATGCGAATAGAACTTTAGTGAGTTCTAATATGCAACGTCAAGCAATTCCTCTTTCTCGGTCCGAAAAGTGCATTGTTGGAACTGGATTGGAACGCCAAGTGGCCTTAGATTCGGGAGTTCCCGCTATAGCCGAACACGAGGGAAAGATCGTTTATAATGATACTGAGAAGATTATATTATTTGGAAGTGGGGATGGTCTAAGTATTCCATTAATTATATATCAATGTTCCAACAAAAATACTTGCATGCATCAAAAATCCCAGGTTCAGAAGGGTAAATGCGTAAAAAAGGGACAAATTTTAGCAGATGGTGCTACTACAGTTGGGGTGAACTCGCTTTGGGAAAAAACGTATTAATAGCTTATATGCCATGGGAAGGTTACAATTATGAATATGCTGTACTCATTAGTGAGCGTCTGGTCTATGAAGATATTTATACTTCTTTTCACATACGGAAATATGAAATTCAGACTCATGTGACAAGCCATGGTCGTGAAAGAATCACTAATAAAATTCCACATCTAGAAGCGCATTTACTCCGAAATTTAGACAAAAATGGAATTGTAATTCTGGGATCTTGGGTAGAAACGGGCGATATTTTAGTGGGTAAATTAACGCCTCAAATGGAAAAAGAATCCTCATATGCCCCGGAAGATAGATTATTACGAGCTATACTTGGGATTCAGATATCCACCTCAAAGGAAACTTGTCTAAAACTACCTATAGGTGGTAGGGGCCGAGTTATTGATGTGAGATGGCTCCACAAAAAAGCGGATTCTAGCTATAATCCAGAAACAATTCATATATATATTTCACAGAAACGTGAAATCAAAGTAGGTGATAAAGTGGTCGGGAGACATGGAAATAAAGGTATCATTTCAAAGATTTTGTCTAGACAGGATATGCCTTATTTGCAAGATGGAAGACCCGTTGATATGGTCTTCAATCCATTAGGGGTCCCTTCTCGAATGAATGTAGGACAGATATTAGAATGTTCTCTCGGATTAGCTGGGAGTATGCTAAATAGACATTATCGAATATCACCTTTTGATGAGAGATATGAACAAGAGGCTTCCAGAAAACTTGTGTTTTATGAATTAAATGAGGCCAGTAAAGAAACATCGAATCCATGGATATTTGAACCCGAGTATCCGGGAAAGAGCGGAATATTTGATGGAAGAACGGGGAATCCTTTTGAACAACCCGTTATAATAGGAAAGCCTTATATCTTGAAATTAATTCATCAAGTTGTTGATAAAATTCATGGACGTTCCAATGGACCTTATGCACTTGTTACACAACAACCCCTTAAAGGAAGGGCCAAACAAGGAGGACAACAGGTAGGCGAAATGGAAGTTTGGGCCCTCGAGGGATTCGGTGTTGCTCATATTTTACAAGAGATGCTTACTTATAAATCTGATCATATTAAAGCTCGTCAAGAAGTACTTGGAACTACAATTAGTGGAGGAACAATATCGAAACCTGTTGATGCTCCAGAATTTTTTTATAAACTTTGTCCATCGTTTCTATGATTACTTGTTAAATGGTGAGGTCCTCTCTATACACCGGAGCCCCTTCCTTCATTGAATCTTGATTCAATCAATGTTATTATGAACTTGTACAGTTCACACTTCTTAGCTCTACCCATTGAATATATAGTAATAGGTCTTTCACAATAAAATCTAGTTATACAGTAACAGTATTTAAGTATGAAGATTAGCTGGGTAGTTGACCATCTTAGTCCGTTATTGCTAAAATTAGGGCATAATTTGTCTTTATTTCAAAGAGGATTTTTCCCGCTTAATGGATCACTTTTTGTTACCAATGGGAAAAGTATATTTCATCTTAAATTAAAAATTAAGGTAATTTGGTTTGAACCAATTGAGAAAGCATAAATTTTATACACAATAGAATTATATATATACAATTCTTATTAATTGAATATATTTTTTAATTTCAGTATATGATCTAAACGAGTCGCACATACACCTTAATACATGTTCCTCGGCGTTGAGGGCATCCCCGAAGAGCGGGAGATTTTGTTACAGTCCCGGATTGGCTGTCTTGTGTTTCTAATAAGTTAGTTTATAGTTGGCATGGTGAGTCATATACATAATGAGCTGGTTTGGATCAATCCTAACCTGATAATTTTCAAATTTATAAGGACTCTATAAAATCAGGTGATTAAAAAGATAAAAGACAACATCAAATTATAATTTTGCATTTAGTCGGTACGTTAGGAAAGAAGCATCAGAAATAGTAGAAAGAAAATATTCTCATTTATTAGGATAAAAAAGGGAATAAAGATTTTATGCAAATTTTGGATTTACAAAGAATCCGCTACTGTATCAATTATTCCGTAGGCTTGGGCTTCTTCTGCTGACATAAAAAAATCCCTTGCCATGTCTTTATATATCTGCCAAGAAGGTTTGCCTGTTCTTTGGGAATAATATTTATCATAGTTGTTTGCATTTTCATTATTTCCATCACTTCCACCATAGATTCTCCCGTGTTTCCCTCATAAAAAGAACTAGCAGGTTGATGCAGCATTACCCTGAGAGTATACTATAATTAAGGTTTATTTCTCTTAATATTACCGTAAAAAAAAGAATGAAGAGATAGAAAAAAGAACTTCAATTTCTTTTTCGCCGTACAGGCAAGCCTCTTTTTTTCTTTATTTTTTATATAGCAAACGACTCTACTTTCAATTTTTCATTTTTTTGACCCTTCATTGAAAAAATACAAAAAAAAAAAATACCGGGTTTATCAGACCCAGATCAGTAAAGAATCTAATAACCACCCTTCTTTTTTTTTTGAGAAACTTTTTTAAAGACTATGATGATCCCGTTGCTATCTTATTTCTTCTAGTTTTTGATTTAGCAATCCCAAAGTTTCTTTTTTTCAAATAAGTCCAAAAAATTGTAACACTAAAAGAAGCTCCGATAGATCAGATAAAATAGTAAATACCCCTTTTTCACACTACTCTTTCGATATATAATCTAATGGTTTTGAAAAAAAAAATTTATCTTTCGATACATAATCAATGAAGCAACAACTAGTACCATAGAGAAGCGGCCATAAACTAGATAATGAGTTCTTGATTATATCAAGAACATAGTATAAAGGATAAAAATATCTACTTTAGACCTAATGAATCCATGTGACTCAATAAGGATCATTTCAACAAAGAGATATAGCATCCGTAATAATTCTATATCTCACCGTTTAACTCCAGGCACTATAACGAATCCAGGTATTTGGAGTTACGAAGGTGTGGCCGTGGCACATATTGTGTTTTCGGGCTTGTGCTTTTTGGCGGCTATTTGGCATTGGGTCTATTGGGATCTAGAAATCTTTTGTGATAAACGTACTGGAAAACCTTCTTTGGATTTACCAAAAATATTTGGAATTCATTTATTTCTTGCAGCGGTGGCGTGTTTTGGTTTTGGCGCCTTTCATGTAACAGGATTATTTGGTCCTGGAATATGGATATCCGATCCTTATGGACTAACAGGAAGGGTATAATCTGTAAATCCTGCATGGGGTATGGACGGTTTTGATCCTTTTGTTTCGGGGGGAATTGCCTCCCATCATATTGCAGAAGGGACATTGGGCATATTATCGGGTCTTTTCCATCTTAGTGTGCATCCACCTCAAGAAAGCAGTGCCAAATTCATCTTTAAAAAGATCTCAAGTCATCAGAGCTGTAATTGTACGTACTTGTAAAGAACTAAAACGTCGTAATGGTATAATAATAAAGTATGATGATAATGCGGCGGTTCTCATTGATAAAGAAGGAAATCCAAAAGGAACTCGAATTTTATTCGCAATAGCCCGGGAATTGAGACAGTTAAATTTCACTAAAATAGTTTCATTAGCACCTGAGGTATTATAATAAGAGAACATGATATAGATATATTATTTATGACTTGAATGAATAGGAAATAGATTAGAGAAATATATATTCTATATTCAAGTCAATATATTCAAAATAAAAATTCGAATTCTATTTGTATAAAAAAATAGAATTCGAATTCAATATAAGATTATTTATATAGTTTCGAATAGGTCATTCTTTCATTTTATTTCTATCTTTTTTTAGTTTTAGAATATTATATATTCAGATATTTAGATTATCCTAATTACAATCAAATTTTCTATACATATAGAGTATTATTCTATTCTCATATTCAATATGAGAGATTTGATTGAATCAAAAAATAAAAAATCAAAAAACGGGAGCACGTTGGTTATATCGAAAGTAAGGAGCAAAAATCTATCGTGGGTAAAGATACTATCGCTGATATACTAACCTTGATACGCAATGCTGACATGAATAGAAAAAGAACTGTTAAAATACCACTTACTAATATCACCGAAAACATTGTAAAAATTCTTTTACGAGAGGGTTTTGTTGAAAACGTCATCAAACATCGAGAAAGCAACAGATACTTTTTAGTTTAACTCTACGGTATATAAGAAATAGGAAAGGATCCTATAAAACTTTTTTAAATTTAAAAAGGATCAATACACCTTGTCTACGAATATATTCTAAGTATCAAAAAATTCCGAAAGTTTTAGGAGGGATGAGGATTGTAATTCTTTCTACTTCTAGGGGTATAATGACAGATCGAGAGGCTCGATTAGAAAAAATCGGGGGAGAAGTTTTATGTTATATATGGTAATGCTAATTTTGCCGATATCTGAATTATATGAAAAAAACTTAGAGCCAACAGTATTGTGAATGGAGGGAGTAGAGAAAAAACAGATTTCTAATATTATTCATGATACATTAGTGAATATGGGAAGAGGTTTTAACTAGAATAGAAATGAAAATTAATAAAGATTAAATTAATCAACAACTTCTGAGGGTATGTTGCAGGTTGCTTTAGAGAAATAGAATTCAAAACAGATTCTAGGTTATGTTTCCACTGGATACAACCAAAAAAGGAAGTATAGCTGACTCCATTCGATTAGACTATTTTATAACTTCAACATATTTTTTAGGAGGAACAATTTGAAGTTCAAAATGTGAGGAAACCCTATTTTCTTGCAATCTATAAAAATGGTATTCAATTTAATTTAAGAAGTGAAAAATATGAAAGTGGCGGCCTCTGTTCCTAAAATTTGTGAAAAATGTCGATTGATCCGTAGGCGAGGTCGACTTATAGTAATTTGTTCCAATCCAAAACATAAACAAAGACAAGGATAATATTAAAAGAAAAAAGGGCTTTCTATTCATAAGATTTTTTATTTGAATTGTAATAGAATTCAAATAAAAAATCTTATGAATATTCCATTTTATTAAATACTAAATCTAAAAATATAGATTCTATATTCGAATAGAGTCTATAGTTATAAGTATTCTCATAAATATAATTGCTTATTGCTTGATATTTGAAAATGGTATTCTATATTAATTGAATTATACAATACAATAGTAACTAGTTAGAAAATAGTCAAGAATCGTTTTTGACAGGAAATGGATATATCCATATATTACGGACTTATATTTTTTTAAATAATAAAACATGGAAAAATCTATACCAAAAATTGGTTCACGTAAAACTAGACGTATTGGTTCGCGTAAGAATCCTCGTAAAATACCAAAGGGGGTTATTTATATTCAAGCTAGTTTCAACAATACCATTGTGACTGTTACAAATGTAAGAGGTCAGACATGTAAAATATATGAACGCTTCTGCATTTTTTCCATATTTGTTAGATTAATGAAATTGAATATCTAATTCGTTTTTATTTATTTATTGAATTTTATTTATTTATTGAATTTAATGATATTCATTTTTTTTTACTATGAATTTCATTTTCATTTCATCCAATTCAAAAAAAATTCCATTCCATTTGATTTCATTTCCATTCTAAGAAAAAGAAAACTCTTTCTTTTGGGTAATCGATAGTAAAAGAATTTAATAGGCTATTTTCCAATTGTTTTAGAGAACAAATCAGGATACAATAAGGATTATTAGATCAAATTGAACTAAGATATGGCCTTTTCATCAAACTACATCGAGTACCGGACCGATTATTTGCGTGATACGCCCCAGATTTTTTTTTTCAAGTGCAGAAACCTCAGTATCAGAAGGTAAGCATTCACTTTAAGGATATTATGTTGAATTGTTGTTCATATTGAAATGAATCAAAATTGATAAGGAGTTGGTCAATGATGCTCGAATATGTACTTGTTTTGAGTGCCTATTTATTTTCTATTGGTATCTATGGATTGATCACGAGCCGAAATATGGTTAGAGCCCTTATGTGTCTTAAACTTATATTGAATGCAGTGAATATAAATCTAGTCACTTTTTCTGATTTTTTTGATAATCGCCAATTAAAAGGAAATATTTTTTCAATTTTTGTTATGGCTATTGCAGCCGCTGAAGCGACTATCGGACTGGCTATTGTTTCCTCAATTGCTCGTAACAGAAAATCAACCCGTATTAATCAATCGAATTTGTTGAATAAATAGCATGAATCATATCATAATTAATAAAAAAGAAACAAAGTATAATTT